AAAACGTTCTCTGTTTAGAAGAAGCCCTTATACTCTTACGCTTTGCGTAAGAGTTTCTTGGTGAAGCTGAAGGAGGAAGCATGGTGAAAAAGGTGAAAATATACATACTCCTTTTCAGTTGCCTGGGATTGTTACAGAAATTACCTGTGGAGGAACACAGAGGGATAGTTCTGCGAAGTAATAGAACAAATGTAGGGAAGATCATTAGAATTTAAGCTTCAGTGGTGGCAGTATTTCTGGGAAGAAAAAATACTAGTTAATAATTTTTTTTTTTTTTATTCCTAATGTATTGCTCCAAAGACGCTAGTTAGATTATTCCCAAATGATTTTCATAGGAAATAAAATATCTTTATAACTTGTAAAAGAAAAAAGTCAAAAGGTAGATTTTAATTTCACCAGAACTTGAGGGGAAAGAGGCTGTTGCATCTAAACTAGCTTCCAGTTGAAAAGGTGTATTTTGATAACACAGTAACAATTTAATTTTGTTGGGCTTTTGTCTTTGTTCTAAGATTTTTTTTTGAACGTTTGACTGAAAGTTGATCACATTTGTGACAGAGGCTGTAGCTCCAGCTTCAAATTCTGTAAAAAATTCCTTAGAATTCCAGAGTTTAGCGTTCACCTTGTAATTGTCAGTTCCAAGATTATTGTCAGCTGAGTATTTTCCTTTTTTTTTTTAATAATCTCTGGTAGAATTCGAATTTCTTCAGGTCTAGTCTACTCCAGAAGCCCACTAAGATAACTGTTGTTTTTTTTTTTTAATCACTTCTTTATTTGTGCACCTTTCTTGTTGTAGTTTTACAGATTTTTGTAGAACCTGTATCGTAAAACACGCATACAGATTAAGCACGTCAAATGTGTCTGAACTTTCTTCCGAACTTGCTTCAGAGCTATGTAAATGTTTTTATATATACTTACAATACTGGGCCATTGCGTGCAAATAAGAAATATTTTTCCTTGTGGCAGAACTTTCAAACTTAAGCAGTTTTAATACATTGACGTTCATTCTGTTTTTCTCAGAACGAGGAAAAAAATGTAACATCACTTAGCTTGCACAAAGTTGTTATACTTTTTTTATATATTTCTT